AAATATAAATATAAATATAAATATAAATATAAATATAAATATAAATATAAATAAAAATAAAAATAAAAATAAAAATAAAAGGAAAGAGATGAATGTATCATCTATGGAGAGCTGTCGGGCCCTATCTAGAAATGAGCATCAGTAAGAGGCCACCAGGCCAACCATTGAGTCCTTGCACACACTTTCAATCTCTCATAGAAACTAAAACAAACAAACAAACAAAAAAAACCCACTGATTTCAAAAAAGTCTGAGAAGGAATCAATATTCTTTCCTCTTTTTCTTTTCTTTTTTTTTTTTTTTTTTTTTTTTTTTTTGTTTGTTTTTTTTCTGTATAACCTCCAAGATCCATCAGACAGTGAGAGAATGAGGAATCAGCCTCCCATGTCCCTTAAAAACAGTGCATAGCAATGTGATTGGAAGAGAAGATGTGAAAGGAAAGAGTTAACCAGGTTTATAATTGCTTCCAGAGCGCAATTATTCAGTCCCTAAAAATGCTGGTGGAACAAAATGGAAAATGAGCATGGTCCCAGCAGACAAATGATTAATATTTAGGAAAGGACCAGAGCAGGTATGGATCTACAAGGAGAAGGAAATGGCACTTTAACGAGGTTGGAACTCAGGCTGCACAAACTCATTACATTTGAGTTTTCCTCTCTTATCAAGAGTGAAGGATCCAGCCCCACTTCTGCCCACCCTCAGCCAGGACAGAGAGCCCCTACGTGCACGGTTTGCATCACATTTAATAAAGTTGTGGCCTCTTGGCTCTCACAACTGCACTCTCCAGTTTTATTTCCCAAGGGGTCCTAGCAACAGCAGCACACAGTGGTTATAATGTGTCATAAAATAAATATTAGCAAAAGCACTCGCGGACCTCCACTGGTTTGGAATTGGCTTGTCATTGTGGTTCGTCTGGTGCACACCTCCAAAATCAAAAGTTGTCTGCAGATGGAGAAAGTTTGTTTCTTGGGCTTGGCTTTGTTTTTGCCTCAACGTCACAGCCAGTAAAAGCAAGGGCTGGCATAGCACTGCCATTCCCATTGCCCTAATCACATTGCTCCTGAAATTAAGCCTGTCAGCACATCAGCTGTAAGCCCCTACTGCAAGAGCTTAATAACACTACTGCGAACAAAGCAAAATTGCTTCTAGACTTACACCTGGTGTACAAGACTTCTGCTTATAGTCCAACTCCTATGCATTGCAGGGAATATAAAGAACATGTTTCAGACAGCTATGTGGAATCATAAAATATCCTGAGCTGGAAGGGACCCATAAGGAAGAAGTTCATTAGCAGCCTCCCTCCTCACCAACCAATTTCCCCACTTTTTAGGCTCATCTCAGTCTCTATTTCTTTTATGAGTGTTTTCACATTCAACCAGAGCCTATACTAGTTATTTTGCATATCAAAATGTCCCATCTATGAAACTGAGTCTTCAGCATGTCTTGCAGGAAAGCCCCAGGGGTGACCCTAGCTCTGTAACAGATCCCTTATGCAACTCTATGCAGATCATTTGGCTCTCTTTTCCTCAGCTCTACCACCATAAAGTGGGAACAATCAGGTTGCTCTGATTCTCACAGCCATAATGATAAATACACTGTTAACTGCTCTGAAATGCCTTTGATGAAGATTATCTGCTGGACAAACCCATAAAGAGCTAAAAGGGAAAGCTTTGTTGCCACTGTAAATTCACTATGATTTCAAGTGCAGAAGTGCTATTTTAATCCAGAATTAAAATTTATTTGCTTTAAAAGGACACCAAGCAATCAATTCCTCTATTAAAACAATATAAATAAGGTTTATTTTCCTATTAAAAAGTAGTGTAGACTGCATGCACAGTTCGTGGCGCAGCATACAGCCTTGCCATGACAGCTTGGGGTGGCCATGCTAGAGGTGCTATTTGCTTGCTGGATCTGAAAAACACCATGGAGCGTTTCTGCTCCATCAGGTCGAAATTACCCTTTCTTAAGACCCGCAGTGCTGACTCAAATGTTGGGTACCATGAAACCTGGGGCACAGGTTTGGAAGTTGCTCCTGTTAGCTGGTGCACAAGTAGAACAGGTTGCCCAGAAAGGTGATGGATGGCATGTCCTTGGAACCATTCAAGGTTAGGCAGGACCAGGCTCTGAGCACCTAATGGAGCTGTAGGTGTCCCTGTTCACTGCCAGGGAGTTAGACCAGACTGCAGTTAAATGTCCCTTCCAACTCAAGCTGTTTTGTGGTTTTATGATTCTAAGATGTCCCTTCCTACAACCATGACTATGGGAGTGAAGCTGCAGACACAGGAGAGCCTGGGAATACATCTTGCAGAAAGGGCAGGTGACGTTGGGTAATGCCACAGCTGATAACATGAACAAGGAGAGGAAAAATAACTAGTGTTGGGTTAAAGAGAAATTGCATATACATCAGCACACGGTGTAGGTATGTTGATGGAAGTGACGAGCAGGAAGGGACAGGTTGTCCTTTCTGTAAGCTGAGGAATCAGGTTTTTGCTGACAAAACCTCCATCCTTACACTTCTCCCTTCTGTTTGCCTCTTTTTTGGTGAGGTCTCTACCCAAGTTATGAACATGGCGAAAACTCACCCTATGTGCCTTTTCCCCTGACCCCACAAGTAACAACAGTGGGATCAGCCAAAGCCAATTCTTGCAAGGCTCTGTTTTGGTCAGAAACAGAAAAAATCAAAAGTAGAGAGCACAGATGGTGCTGTGGGCATGTATTCACTGTGCATGGGAAGCTAAGGGTGCTGAGATAGGGTCTCCTACCAGTCCTCCACCATCAATCTTAGAGCAGCATGCCAGCATGGACACGCAGCAGCTGTTGCGGTAAGTTCATCGGATAGCATGCACATTTATTAAAGTACCTTTAGCACACTTACTAAAACATATATTTAGCTAGGGAAAATAATCTTGCCCTGCCTATAAAAGTCAAAGTTTGCCTTTATAAATAACTCCGGGAGCCCTGCACGCATCGGAGGAAATGGTGACAGCGTGTGTGCTCAGTCTCCTTCTCAGAAAAACTCTCTGAATAAAATATAAACATGGTGAAATATAAAGAACAGTTTGGTGAAGATAATGAAATCTAGTGAAGCCAATAATTTACCCTGTAAATCAGACAGCCACTTCTCCCTTACAAGTTGCCTGCCCTGATTTACACCTTACACCTTATTTCCAAGCTTCTCCCCGCTTTATTGCAAGCACTCAGGGCAGGCTGTGTGTGTCTTGGTTGCTGGCATACCCGTTCATTCCCACCTTGAAATGTCCCACTCTACCATAACCCATTGGCTTGATTCACTTGTTCTTTTTTCCAGTGTCTTCTCACAAGTTCCCAAAGAAGGAAAAGGATGGACGAGGCTCAGTGGCCAGCTGACAGCAAGCCCCTGCTTGGCTCAGTCCCATCTTCATTGCTTGTTCCTTCCTCTTTTAGGTCTGAGCAAGCAGAGCTGACGGAGTATCTCTCCGAACTGGAGAGGATGTGCCTGGTACGGTCTGCACGTACATGAGGTATGTTGTGCAGGGGGTGCTCTGCCCATGAGAGTACATGGTAAAGTAGGGAAAGCAGTAGGGAAAGCACTGCATCTCGAGGAGCCATTCTGATGTGTGCTCCCTCAGTATTAAGATCTCTCCAGGCTTTCTGTATCTGGTAATATTGCTCTTGTTTTAAATTCTTCTCATAATTTCAAGAGAAAATTCTTTGTGACAAACGCTGTTGATTTAAAACTAATGTTTAGCCAGAAATGGGTAATTGTATTAGACCAAAAAAAAGCTGCTGTAAAATCGGCCCCAGTCTGATTTTTAATTTACTGCATCATCAGCTACTTTTATGATACTATTTAATCTGCTGAAATAAAACTATTGCTCTATGAATGTCTCTGACGCTCAAGGAAGATTGTTTTTAGCCATTCTGCTCTTGGGGCCCAGGAGCTGTTAATTATTCTATGAATTATTCCTGCAAATGCATTTATTTACATTTGTTTTAATTGTCACAGTGCTCAGAGAAATTATGTTTTCTGTGAAGTCGTTTTTAACCCTTGGAGAGTGAAAAGGGACAGTGCCCATCACTGCTTCACCCTGGTCAGGAATCCTCCTAACTCCTTTTGCCTTTCCATAGAAAACAACTCCCAGCAATGCCAAAACAATGCCCAGCAATGCCAAAACACTGCCCTGTGCCTTTCTCATGAATGCAGTTGGGTGCAGCATTGGGTTTTGCCTTCTCTGGGATGAAAAAATCAGCCGCAAGGGCCTGTTCCAAACCCATCATTACCTACAGCACAGCCCCACTGTGTACAGCTGATCTGGGGCTGTGTTCCTGCGCAGACTGCAGGCTAACATCAGGCAAATCGTAAAAAAATAATTCTGCTTTTTCTTGGCTATTAACTTCCTCCAGAAATAGTGAGAATGGAGGTGATGCTATGGAACTCCCCGGAACAACACACCACCAAGTGAGAAAATTGTGAAAAAGAGAATTTCCTTTGTAAAATATCTATGGCAACATGTAATCCACCCAAAAACACACCTAGTTTGAGATAAGAATGAAGCCAGTTGACTGTTTTCTGTTCTTTTCAGTGAACAGCAGCAGCTCTCATAAATATTACCTGTGGGATAAATGAATGCAGTGGGAGGAAAAAGGCTGCAGGTGTGACCAACAATGTACATGTGTGGCACGAGCTGCTGGGTTTCGATATTCCTCATCCATTGCTATTGCAGCGTTAGGTTTACTGGCCCTACTAAGCACCTGAGCACCTGCCTGCGCCGAGAGTGGGAGCAGGCTGTTGTCAGATCTGTTGCAGACAATCAAGTGATGGTTACAAGGCAAAGTACAGTAAAACAAATAGTTCTGAATGCTGCGCAACCACCTCTTGTTTCATCCAAACGACGTCTGTTTGGTTATTTCCTTACAGTCGAATGCCTGCTCCCTGGGCAGACAGCAGAAGTCTCCTTTTACCTCGGTAATTAGCTTGTTTGAAAGCTCCCACAAATTCTCCCTATCATAAATTTTGCATTGCTCCGCGCACAATAATGCACATAAAATTAAATAAACAATTTAATTAATTTAATTAAAATTAAATATTAAACATATTGTGTATAAGAAGCCCGTGTCTTTGATTTAATTGGGCAGGAGTACCCAAAGCAGTTTGGGTAACAGTGAAAAATAATTAAAAACAACAAGTACGGTCGCCTCTGGGTACGAAGAGTAGTTGGGAGCTTTCTCCTGAGAAAGGTTTATTTAATTAAAACTAAACTAATCTTTGGAAAACACTTGATAAGCATTTCATAATACAAATCATAATCCAAAAATGAAGCTTATACTTCGCTTACGTGATACAGGAAAATAACATTAAATAATTCAACTCTGCCACCAGCCACTTGTCTATCACGGAATAATTCAGCAGAGAGCATGTTTACCACCTTTACATTTTCTGTACTGCTCAGTTCATCTGGATATTTATTGGTAAATTATTGCAAGGCATGATGGATCTGTGAGCGATAAGGCTGAGGGTTAATGCTGTATTTGGACTGGTTATTTCCTCTCGTAGTTGTGACACCAGGCTAGCATCGAATCCCCAACCAATTCTTGGATGACACCTTTCCAAGGTAGAGAATATTATTTCCAGCATCTCCCACCACCAGAGGAGAAATGGATTATTTATAAGGTGGTGTCTATATCAATACATCCCACTGGCGAATGTTTGCATTTCTGATACCATGCAGTGAGCACTGCAGCTCTCTGCAATACTTGGACCCTTCCCAAGGTGGCCAACCAAGACCTGGCACCCAGCTGGCTGCCCTGCACTGACGGGTTTACAGGGCATCTCAAAAACAAATGTTTCATTCTGACACCTGGACAGCAGCAGCCTCTCCAGCTATCTCCTACAGGGACTGATGCCAAACAGATCTCTAAAAAATGATTGTGCCCAAAGAGATCCTAATTGACACTCTCAAGCAAGTGCCCAGCATAACTGAGTGTCCCTCATGTTGCACAGAGCAGCTTTAAAGGGATCATATAATTTCAGTGACCTCGGAGTATGATGCCAATGGGCTCGAGCACATGGATGGGCAGGGGCCCTTACGTTGCCTGGATCTGCTGGGCGACCCAGGTTGTGCTTTGTGTGAGCTTTTCCTGGGAAGAAGCCATTAGCCGATGCAGAGTTTGTTCAGTTCCTCTCCCGCCCACAGCTTTGAGCAGAGGACGCAGCAGTTTATCAGGAGTTTCTGCCTAACAGAGGTACAAAGGGGCCCTGCACAGGGTGTGGGAATTTCCCGCATGTTAATGAACCTCATACTGTAAAAGACTGTAGACCAAATCCTTCAGTCCTCACACAGACAAAAGTCCACATCGACTTACCCAAAATCTCCCTGCAAACGCCCATTCAAGTCAACAGCATTTTGCCTGGGCGAGTGCTGAGGGTTTGGCCCAGCGGTTGTCGCTGCAATTGCGCACTGGCAAGAGAAGAAGATTTACCACAGCCCCAGCCATGTGTCCTGGCTCCCCTACAGCCCCCAACCCACAGTACAGCCACCAACCCTTGTCCCTGCGGTGCCACCCAACAAGACAGCCACAGTGTCCCCATCCTGCCTATGGAAGGACATAGCCCATAAGGAAGGAACATCCAGAAAATAATAGAAATGTAACAACGAAAAAGGAAAGTGGGCCCGATTTTATTTGCTTGTTTTGGCCGTATCATAGCTCAGCCCTTCCTCACCATCGTGGTTCAATATTTGCTGATCGAAAATATAGACTGGCTGCGAGGCACAGAGATAGCGATTATCATCAGAAAGCAACGGGCACTAAAAGAATGGCTCTTCCATTTCCAGAATGTAAAACAGACATTCAGAAGAACAAACAGAGCAGGGAAGAAACGACGGTCATTTGCAAGTAAAATATTACCAAACAATATAACATTGGATTAACTGTTTCATGTATTTATTGTGGAGGAATATATAGAACTTTACATGAGAAACTCACGGTACAAGCAAGAAACAAAGCACCCTTTTGAACAGCCGCCTTTTAACTTCAGAGCTCCTGCACATGCAGCACAAGGGCTGCTCCCACTGAAGCAACAGCTCTGAGTGAGTTCAGGATTGGGCCCTATGGTTTTAAACTTTCCTCCTGCAACGTCCCTTTTGGAAATATTGCAAACCCCCCAGTCTAGGCACATTGATGTGTTTTGGACAGGAACTGTGACATGGCAAAAAGGAAGCAAAGATGCACTGTGGGGCTGATGCTGAAAACTGCAAGAAAAGGAGAAAAGAAAGAAAAGGAGGGAAAAGGGAAAGCAGCATGCAGGGAGTCTGATCCTGCACCAGTGTGAAGCAAAGCACTGAGCCTGCAGTATGGCTGTGCACAGGACGTGACCTGCCCCCATTTCTGCCCTTTGTTATGGTTTGCTGGAAATGCTGGAGTGCAGGATGTGCTGCTTAGGGCCACGCTGTGCTTCATGGAGCTGCAGGGTTCCAGATATTGGGGCAGCTCTACACTCTGCCTTTATAGGTTTTCTCCCTTCTGGTGTTGTCTGAAATGCTCACATAATTCCTGTGAATCGCTGTGTGAATCTGTGACTAGTTCACGACTTTTTCATAAGCTCAGCAACACACCAAACTGCGCCTGGGTCCCATTCTAAAGGGCAGAACCTGTGCAGAAACAGCAACACAAAAAGAGCTGTGGTACTCGGGCTGATCGCTGCTCCCTGCAAGCACCACAGCCACCCGTTGGGATAATGAAAACACAGCATCAGAGATGCACCAGATCAGGGCAAGAGGTTTTGGGCTGGGTTAGCACCACCTTTGCTCTGCTTGATGCCAGGAGCTGTGCTGGGTGACTCAAGGAGTTGTCTGCAAGTCCATCTGTGTTCTGTGCATAGGGAGCAGCCGTGTTTATTTGAGGTGCTCAATTTCTCAGTGTAAGCGCACTCTGTCCTAATTAAGTGAATGTCCAAGCCTCTTTTGAGCTGCTCGGAAGCAGATTCTGAAGTCCTGCCTTACTGTCAGCTTCATTTGTGTAGAATTCCTATGGAACCCAAGGGCACATCTGTGGGTAACTTTGATCCTCAGAATTCTTACGGCTAGAGCAGGAAAAAGCTGAAATAAAGGAGTTCTTAAACAAGAAAACCACCAGCAGGACTGAGCCCCTAATATGTTGTAATAACACTAATGACGTCATTCGTGTTCAGCCATGTACATGTGGGGTTTTGCTCCTGGATGTGAATGCAGTCATATGGAGCTGTGTTTTCACAGTTCAGCCTCCTGAGCCCCATCCTGCTGCCACTGAAAGCCGTGGCAGAGCTCCCAGCTTCTCCACTGCTATCAGATTAGCTTTGTTCCATGGGCTGAAGCAATCTAATAGATACCAGGTGTCCCTGGTAGCGCCTGTGTGGTCCACAAGTAAGTGAAACATATTTTAAGGAGTCAAATATGAAACAGCTACATCACAGAACCTGCAATAACCCCAGCTGGTATTATTATCTATGGAGGACATGATCAGTATCTA